TTTACATTTACTCGGTTTTATTGTGAGTCCTGCTGCTTTGATCTTCTGGAATACTTCCTTGAGGTGCCTCAAATGTTTCCAAAACGTCAAAAATATATTATGTTATCTACATATATTAGTTTCACCTCTAAAATGGTTTGCATTTGTGAGGCCAAAAGGGAGGTGATTCCATCCAAAGACACCATCGGGTGTAATTTAGGTCGACTTGTGTTTTGCTTCTGGATGGAATGGTATTTGCCAAAAGCCTCTAGCACAATCAAGCGCACTAAAATATTTGCAGAGGTGGTTGAGGGAAAATATAGGTTTGGTCACTGCATTGAGACGTCATAATCTACGGCAAAGCAGTAAGAGCTTTCACTTTTTTTTAACCATGACAATGGGAGGGTGCCATTCAGAAGAACTTGGCTGACTGATATTGGCTTCAAACATTTCTTGCATCTGTCTGGAACATTCTTCTTTATGGGAGTGTTTTGCCTATAAAACGGGAGCCTAATGGGTCTAGTGTCACCTGTGTCTATTTTGTGATGATGTAAGTGAGTGTGTCCTAATTCTGACAAATCTGAGGCAAAAACTGATCTTTGTGCTTGGAGAAATGCATTTTACTTTGTTCTTGGACTTTCAATAATTTTAAAATGCTTTCGGGAACAAAACCTCCTCGATGCTCAGTGGTATCATTATGATGCAAGGCTAGTTGTGGTGTCTCACCAAAGACATCAAAGATGAAGTATCACCTGGCTCCATTTCGAAATTTTCACTTCAAACTCAATTTCCACTGATCTTGATAATGTAGCGTGTACATTACTCAGAAAACTGTTTTGGTTTTGTTTAGGCGATTGATTCTCAACTATTTTGTAACACTGTTTAGAGGTTGGGCCCAACATCCAATCTAAGTAAATGAAAAGTACATTCTTTCAGTAGATGTGAGATGTTTTCACTGCAGTCAACATAACACTTGGTGATCAGCAGAAATAGTACAAGTGCAATAGGCAGGCAAAGAACACTAATTTCCCATATTTCTGCCAGTCAACAACATGCAAATCATACTGTTTCCTCAGTTGTTGTTAAAGCAGAAATATTAACATCAACCTCATCATCATTACTTTCCAGTCGAAATTCTACTGGCATCGTTTCAAATGTGGCTTTCTCATCATTCAAAACATTCACAGAGACTTGTTTACTTTTACCTTGCAGTCCTAGCTCTGCAGCAACGTCTACATTAATATAGGACCTTGTGCTGGCGTCATCTAGCAAAGTAACTCTGTGGTTCCCATGTTCGAGGAATACTGGCACTGTCCTGAGCCCAATGAATGAAGATTTTGAAGCAACATTCGATGCCATGAAAGTTGCATGTGATCATCAGCAGTTGAATAAACCCTGTCCCTATCCACATGTAGCAGCCTGTTATGGCTGCTTCTACATCCATTCATGCCACATAATCTTGTTTGACAACAGTGTTTACCACGATGGTTGCTTCCTAAGCAACGAAAGCAAAGATTTAACTCCTTTGCTTTGTTCCATCTGTCCTTCACTTTTAAAGCCGTGAACTTTTTTCAATTCCAAACATCATGTGGCTCTTTGCATGCTATGCACAAACTCTTTACTCCAGCATAATGCCCACCAGGTTTCTGGTTACTGTCATGCCCAAGGAATGTACGAGGAGTCCTTTTATGTTCAGATTTTATTTACTTATCACTGACACGATAAATGGTTTCAGCTGCAATTGTTTGAAACTCTGCTCCTTGGAGCACCCATTCTCTCAGAGTTTCAACTGACTCTTGTCTTTGTCTATCAAATACCCAACGTTGACACTCTGTAACCATGGCTTCAGTCATCGTTTTTAGCAACCACATATAAAGTAAGCCATTTCCTAATTCTTCTACTCTGTCAGAGTCGCGGGGGTAAACTACAGCAACATACAGCATGTCAGCAAATCTATCTTAATCTTTTGCATGACCTGGGTGAATGGGTTTGAAGTTGTCTCACTCTTCAAGATGTAAAGCAATCTGACGTCTCATGCCACCAAACCTCCTCTCTAATACCTCAAGAGCTACTTGATAAGCAACTGTATTATGCCCCAAATACCTAATCACTCTAAGAGCTTCGATTGCTAAATACTGCCACAATTGCAATAGCTTGTATTCTGGTGTTGCTGGTGAATTATCAATACATGTAATGAATGCAGCCTTCCAGCTCTGATAAGACCTGACATCACCTGCACTGGAATAGAAACTCTCTGTAACTGCTTCCACATGTCATGTCCTATTGCGCTTTTGTCAGACACTGGAACAATTCCTGCATCCAAACTAATCTAACTCGCACCAATAACACCATGATCCACTAACAGGCAGTACCATGAGTAACAATGAATTAACCATGCTCTGCTACCACTTTTGATCAGCAGAAATAGTACAAGTGCAATAGGCAGGCAAAGAACACTAATTCATTTACGATAGTTTTATTTTAGTTTCAAGCAACAATTACAAACACAATCACTACTGTACTTCAATTCACATTTACAAAGTTTCTGAATTCCCAAATTTCTATAATGACCATGATTACTAAATGACTTGTGTGTCGAACGATGTTGCCTATTCTAACTCTAAAGCCAAACTGAATTACAACAACACATGGTGGTCGACACGTGGCGCACATGCATGATTTTTTCATGCTTTTAGATATGTATCTGTGAAGTAATGCAGCGTGTGCGCGAACTGTTTTCACACACAGGAACGAAACAGAACGACCTGTTCTGAAACATAGCATACCCACAGCAATACAATCTGTGATGACAATATCCTTATGTCCACTTGGTATTTTCACTGCAGTCAACATCACACTTGGTAGTTTCACTGCAGTCAACATAACACTTAGTATTTCACTGCAGTCAACATAACACTTGATATTTTCACTGCAATATCACTATATCTTCGAGGACATTTAAGGAACTTTGTCTACATAATCTTAAACGTTTTGGCAATTGTTTTTGCCTGCCAACTTCAACCATTGACCTGTGTGAGCTGCATCTAAATTGTGCTACTAATTTTCTGCGTTTACTTATATTTAGCAGTTAAATAATTTTCTGCCCATATTTGCGTTTTAAAATATCTTTAATATTCACATTTGCTGAAAAGATAATATTATAACATTTCCTTGGTAATCTACTTTCTGGCATTTTCAATAATTTTAACCAATACTTTATGAGTTGTATATAGTAATATAAGGGTATGCGACTAAGGTCACCATAAATCACTACATTACACAGCAAAAAGGTGTAAAAAAATTATCTTGAAAATACCAAGAAATTTGAAGGTTGCTGAAGGCATCTGGAAGGTTTCCGGAAGGTATTCGGATGCAAATTTTCTTCATGTCTTGTTTCTGGTAAATAATATTAGCCTGTGCATAACAGATGGCTGTTGTAATATTCTGTGTTACTTTAATGGTAAATATCCTCCTAAAACATTTTTTGAGAAGACAATTGTTCAATTTCATTAATTGTTCTTTTTAGATTTCAATGGTATTTAATGAACAAACATCAGTTCTCGTATAATGATATCCTTAAATTTCATGTCCAGACTTCCAGTTTGTACTGAGAAAAAGAAAAAGTCATTGACAGTGTGCTCACTTGGGCCTTTGGTCCTAGTGAGGTGATAATAAGACTATTTGTAACGGTACATATACTTGTTATATCAAAAAGGCTAACTTCATTTAAATTTACCTCACCCTAGTTTTATGGTACTACAGTGAGCTCTTCCTCAGTTACTGTAAATTCTTTTATTAAAAGAAATTGAGAGTTAATTTGACACTGGAGTTGTAACCCCTGCTCATATATGTGTATTCAAATAATATAACAACTATGTGCTTAATACTTCACAAATATCTCCAGAATTAGGCATTTAAGTCATAATTGCAGAAATACTTTATGAATGACCCCTTCACTATTGCCTTCATCTTACACTTCAACCCTTCATGAGTTATCACTTTTGAGTGTGAATTTGACCTTCAATATCAGTGATAAATATTTCAAAAACATTTCAAAGAGCTATCCAGCACATAAACCAAATATGCAGTCCTTTGGTAGAATTCAACAAATCATTGACAAAAATATGAAAATAATATAACCAGTATATGTATAAGGGTTACTAAGACTTCTGCAGAAAAGGCAATTTAGGGGAAAATGTAGTATATATAGGTCACACACGACCTTTTTCCAACTTCAACCCCTGCCCAAAGGAAGAGTTAGACCACAAACAAACCTTTTGTCTGGTTGTGACTTTGACCTTTGACATAACAGATCAATGTGTCATCAGACATTCTCAGAGCTAAGGAAACATGTGTTATTTGTTCCTGAGATGCCCAAGCAATGCATGGTTTCATAAGATAAGTGTGGCTATTAAACTGAGGCAAAATCATTAAACATCCCCATTTACACAGCTGGCAAATGAAACATAAGCAACAATCAAATTATCAATTTCTTTTATTCATATGCCTATGGTATATCGCACATTGAACTGTGTTCACATGATGGTTCCTGATGCAGTATGCAAATTCATCCTATTCTTCAATACTCATAACAGAGTGTGATAACTGTTCGCTTGACAGTACCTACGGATCATGTTCACCAGTTCAGAGAACTTACTTTCCCTCAAACCTCCTTTTCTTTCTATATTGCCATAGTGAACAGGAACCAGGATGAGGGAATACCAGTTGGACTCTATCCCTGCTGCATTGTGTTAGTAGAATTGTGAACTTTCCATTTGGTGTTTGGGTCCACAATTAAAGACAATAAGTCCCAATTATCATTCCTTTCAAGTGTTTACCACATGGCTCAAGACAAGAATTTCTTGAACGTCCTGGAAGGATCCCACTCCAGCTTGGCAATGGTTGGTCTTCTCACATTAGCCAGACCAGCCTTTGCGTGTCCCAGTACCATTTGGCATACAACTTCTAGGGTCAGCATCCATTGAAATAACAGGACCCGCGTCATCGCTGTCTCCAAATCACCTCTGATATCTGAAGGGGTGCGCTCTCTGTTAAGGACTCCCTTGTCTGGTCCTTCCAGACTGTCAACCTGGAGTACTCATCCAGGGATCTCAAGCAGGACATCAGTTTCTTCAGCATTATGTACAAAGATTTTAGCAATGAAAAAGAATTGTCGCCACATGTACTTACAGATAGAAGGCAGCAAAATCACTTAAGTTATCATATGTGAGTCTTGTTATATGCCAAACATTTAAGAAAATCACATCTCAAATCTCGACCAGACAAACCAGTGATTAATGTTATGAACTCGGTTCAGACAATATCCCACATTGTTGTGGTATGATTACATGCGATTAACGAGCCTACTCACTACCTGATCTATTATTTGGCTTGTATGGCAAGCATAGACTGCTGGGAATCTTTTTAAGAGATGTCATTTAGTGATTGTTTCAACTCATCAACATGGGAAAATATATATTTACAATCCTTGTCATATAGCCAAACTTTTGCTGGATGTGGTGTTACAGAAGTGAGTTGGGTTTCACACTGCTTTAAACAGTATTCCAGATATATCACCGCCTGTTAGCTTGATGTGGGAAGAAAGCCCTAAGTGATGCAGGTCTTTGATGAATCCCTCGAGCTTGTGTATAACGCTGACAAACCTAGCAACATATTGGGGAGAAGCAGGATTTTGAAACCATGACTATAGGTTTCTGCTAAGCCCAAGAGATGCAACTCTGCACAGCAAATTGTAGTGCCTTAGATAATAGGACATCCGTGCCCACAGAGATAAGGAACAAACTGAAGAAATATTTGCAAAATAGCCATATGAACCAAACAGAATAATTTCAAAATATTTATCACTCACTGTTGCTCTTCTCTTGTTCCTCATTGCTTCTCTTCTATGGTCTTTCTTTGCATTGATGCTGCACAGATGACCGTCTCTTTTATTCATCCGGACATTCTACAAACATAAGTAGCATTCACATCACAGAAATGTCCAAAATGTACATTTGATTCAAATGAAAAGACCCCGGTTGTGATTCCGACTTAGAATTACCCTAATTATAATAATTCATGTCAAACATTCAGAGATGACATTTATTCCCATATTTAATCATTCAACACATACATTACATAGGGAATCACTTGTTCGACAATGCAGAAAGATCCTCACCGAGGTCAATATCATTCCATGAATTATTGCTAAATTTGCTTGAAATGCAGATTAATGCAATGCAGTATTCACTTTTATTTCTAGGCTATTAATTTGGCTTTTACATGGCACTGTTTTGACAGAGATCTAACCTTGATACGACACTTTGTTCAGAAATGATATGAATAAGATAATACTTTATTATTCGCAAGGAAATTTGGGTTACATTGTAAAAGCACAGAGAAACAAGTATAAGATTCATGATTTAAGTTAAATACACTCATACACTCATGCACAGACACAGACACAACACAGACACACACACACACACACACACACACACACACACACACATACACACACACAACGACAAAACAACATCCAAACACTTATCAACTAATGAATCGGGTGGTCAGACTAGGTTGTCATCATACTCTGAGGGCATGGATCTTTGCTGATAATAACAATCACTAGATTGCCTGGTCCATGTTCAATTATTTACAGGCCGCCATCACAGAGCTGGACTATTGTGAGTGTGATGTTTCACATTGCATTGAAATATACCATGATGAATACATGTAGTTTGTAACTATCACACACAAAAATACTCACTCAATACTTCGTATCCTCCCTGAGGATGTCTGTGAATCTCCCCACAAACCCTGAACATGTTGAAACAGAAAAGAACTAACTTGTCTTTAACCCTTCCAAAGTTTCAGTGTGGAATTGCTAAAGATTGATAAGCTGTCATTATTCATTGTAATCCATATCTCACTTTCAGGTGGTTCAGGTTGCAACACATGATTGGAATTGAATGCCACGTTTTGTATGACATGAACTTTGCCAGATTTATACCCCAGCGTTATGCTGAGAATAAGGACACGACCCTCAAAAGTCCTACACCTGAAGCTCTTATGCAAACCCAAATCCCATGTCACAACAAACACTTGATCATAATAATAACAAAAGGTTTCCGAACACAAAAAAAAAAGGCCCTTGACGTTTACAATAGTAACATCGAGATCAGGAAAATATCTAAATCAATTATGGAATGCCATAAGATCTCTGTATAGAAATCATGGAACATTATGATTCGAAGCCCTGCTACGTACCTGGCATCCGCAAGCTGCTCTTCCTTCCTTCGGCTGTCAATCGAGTTTTCGAAATACTTGACGTCCTCGTTGTGGATGGCTCAGACGGATTTCGACCGGGATTTCCGTGTAAGAGGTGATTGAGAACAATGTATCGATACACGAGGTAAGCATATCGCAATCAAGCATCACGGTGTACATCGATTACACGAGGTTTGAGTGTTTGTTTACATTTGGTGTTCCAAAATGGCGCCCTTGGCCATACAGGGAATTAAGGATTGCCGGGCCAAGCAAAGTCGGGCCGGGCCGGGACAGCGTGTAATGCTCAACATGGATTGCAGAATAATAAAACGAAACGTGCATATCTAGGCAGATCTCAAATGTCCACAAACGTATAGTTTTTCTCATTTCATTGGGTTTGAATCAAAGTGCATCTTCAACAATGTATTAAACTGATAATTATGACTACATACCGTGGGTCCTCTTAGAAAAGTCAGTGTCAGTGTCAGTCAGACTGTGTGTTTTCTTTGATGAGAATGTTTCTCACCGACCTTAGCGTGTAGGGGTGTGATGTCCTGGGCAGGAAACGATAGTGTTTTGACTACTCTTCTTCCAGTGTTGGGCATCATGTGTTGGGCATCCCTAATGAACCTTTACTAATTCATGTTAAAATAACACAGGATGTTTTCTGGGAGTGGATATTCGTCAATGTCATAGGACTGACACGACACGTCTTGATAACTGTCCTAGCACTTCTAAAATTAATAAATAACCGTACAGACGCCAGAACGGCCTGGCGCAAAATCCACGCCATTAGAGGCTTAAAACGTCATAAAAACACTAAACATTAATAATTCAACAAAACCCGCCGAAAAGGCAAATAACCTCGCCAACCACTTTTCAGCCGTAAGCAGTAACAACAATTTTAGCCAAAAATTTAAAGATAAACTTAGAACAGAAAACAAATCCACCAAAGAACCAAATAATGACAACCTAGAAATAAACCACCCTTACACAATGGAGGAGCTACTCTACGTCATCCAAAACAGGAAAAAGGGCACAGCCCCAGGATTGGACCTAACTTCCTACCAAATAATTATAAAACTCCCCCCATAACTAATCCAGGCACTACTTAAACTATACAATTTCATCTATCAAAACGGACAAGTACCTATGCCCTGGAAACAGGCCTTAGTCATACCAATCCCTAAACCTAATGAACCAGCTAATCAGGCTAACTCCTATAGACCAATTTCCTTAACTTCAAACTTATTAAAAGTAATGGAATCTATGGCTAAACACAGACTACAACATTACCTAACTCAAAAAAGCATCATAAACCCAGATCAAAGTGGTTTCACTCATGGCCGCTCAACCTTAGATAACCTCGCCCGTTTAGAGCAGGACATTAAACAGGACAACTTAGCAAACAATATACTACAGGCATCTTCTTAGACTTCTCCAAAGCTTTCGACATGGTATGGCACGACGGGCTAATTCAAAAACTAAAAAAAATAGAACTCAAAGGTCAAATAATAAACGACATCCAGGACTTCCTAAACAATCGTAAAATAACCGTGGGTATAGACCAAACGCTATCGGACGAATTTCCCCAAGAAAATGGCACTCCCCAGGGCAGTATCCTCAGCCCCACACTCTTCAATATAATGATAAATGATCTATTCGAGGGCCTATCCCCTAAAATAAACACATCTAAATTAGCAGATTATGAAGCCCTCTGGATCCGCACAAAAAGCATTGATATTGCCCAAAACCTACTCCAAAAATCTCTAAACAAAATACAGCAATGGGCTGACAAATGGGGCTTCTCCCTTAACTCGGAAAAAACTACAGGAATAGTATTTAAACACAAAAACATGAAACCCGCCTCCCCCCAAAAAAGCTAAACAACAAACCAATCCAATTCCTAAAACAAACCAAATTCTTAGGACTAATTTTCATTGAACATCTCTCCTGGGACGCTCACATAAATAATCTAATAACTTAATGTAGCAAAGATCTAAATACGCTAAGATGCCTAACAGGCTCAAACTGGGGGGGGGGGCGGCCTCCAAAGACACCCTCCTCTCACTCTATATATCACTAATTAGATCTAAAATAGACTACGGATGTGCCATATACGACACCCTTAACCAATCCCTAAGCAAAAAACTCAATATCAGGCTCTAAGACTAATAACACGCACTCAATGTGGCACCCCCTACACTTCACTCCAGACCTTAACAGGGGAAATGCCACTAAATCTACGTAGGGAACAATTAACCCTAAATTTCTGGGCCGCGTCTCAATCCAAACCCCTAATCCAAAACCTAATAAACAAAAATATAAGCCCCACAAACCAAGCCCTAGCTCGAGAACACCCTCTAATTACTCCAATATACCAAAGAATAACCAATTACTTAAATGAACACCAAATAAACAATCTTAAACAAAACTGTAAAAAATCAAATATCTTACCCCAAAACTTAAAACACCAAAAATAGACATAACACTAGCTAGCACAATTAATAAACAAACCGACCCAAACATAGCAAAAACCACCACATTAGCATACATACATGAAAATTGGCCAAATTGGTGTCACATTTACACAGACGGATCCTCAGATCCGATCTCCAAACACATCGGTTTCGGAGTCCACATCACACAACCAACTAAAGCCACACAATCCTACCGACTCCCAAACAATCAATCAATATTCACGGCCGAACTAATGGGCATGGCCTCAGCCCTTCATAATCAACAATCTCAAAAACAACAAAAAAGCCTAATACTTACCGACTCGCTCAGTGGACTACAAGCCCTTTAAAATAAAAACACCCAAAACCGCCCTGAACTAATAAATCAAATACTAAAAAGCTCAACCGATTTAACTAAGGCAGGCAAACAAATAGTATTCATTTGGATCCCCGCCCACGTAGGAATATACGGCAATGAAAACGCCGATAAAGCAGCTAAACTATCCCTTAAAATCCTAGAAATAAGCTTAAACCTACCTATCTCCAAATCAGAAATTAAAAGTGTCAACAAACAAAAAATCACCAAAAAATAGCATAACCTATATCTAAACTCAAATAGCCAAATCAAAAAGGTTCCCATAGACTAGTATTATATCTACCTATATACCACTTTATAATGTCACAGTACATCGTATGTAAAGAAAACTGGTCCGTTAAAGTCAAACACTTTTACTGTATTTTCTTAAAAAAATCTCTCTCAGAAGTGTTGGGTCCGACTTGTCCCCGGCTCACATTCACATCTATAAACAAGTATAATATCTACCTATATACCACTTTAAAGTGTCTCAGTTCGCTGTATTTAAAGAAAACAAGGTGCTCAAAGTGAAGCCCTTTTCTCTCTACATTCTCAACATAGTCTCTATCAAAAGTGTTTTGCTTGTGTTGGGTCCAACTTGGCCCAGGCTGTCAAAATCAACTTTAAACACATAGATGTATCATCAAATGTGTTTATAACCTATACCTTGTTTTCTTTAAATACAATGTACTGTGACGGGGACATAAACATTATAATGATAATGATGATGATAGTTGTTTATGATGAGGATGATCACCATATTTTAACGTCTATGATGTGATTAACAAGGAATTTAATTAATTTAATCGTGCACAGTTGCACATATTTATTTATCTGAAGATCCTCTTGTGAAGCATGTCAAGACTGAAAACAAGTCATTCAATGGATTTTCCTAAACGACCCATTGATGCAGTACTGAATATCAATGTTAATGTTTATTTTGTTGATGGTGCTGGACGGTACAGAAATGAGTGTCAATCAAGCGAAGTGCCATATCAAATCAACCCAGAACCGGTCACTTGCCACTAGAAATCGTCAATGTGTGATTTTGTCTCAATGTTGATGTCTAGCTTGACACAAACACAGTATCATTGGCATGGTTCGATCCTCTTGTTACCGTAATGTGTGGTTTTGACTCCGAGACCATCAATGGTACGACCCAGAATATGCAGAGGGCGTCGTGGGACATGATAATTACATTTATAATTCTTTGGAATACGCCCACGTACAGAGTCAGACGTATCCAAGCGAACAAACCTGATATGGTCCTTTTTGATAAATTCAATGAAACCATTGTATGACCGATTTATCTGTTTCTTTTGAAACTAATGAGATTCAGGAGAAACAAGGCAAAGACAGTATGAGGACCGTATTAACGAAATGTCAAGCTAGCTTCCCAAGTTGTTATAATCGCTATTCATGACAAGAAAAATCCCGTTTCCTGACGCTTAAAATAGTGTTTATATTAATTAAAATGCACACATTTCCAAATATTCGAAATATTCCAGTGTCCATTCCGTCCACTAACCTTGAAGGATAATGATGACGTAGACGACAAAAACGACAACGACAACAACGATGTGCTGGATTGACTTTCAGAAAGCATGATTCTGTCTGTTTGGGAATATTTGGACATGTTGTAGAAATTTACGTCAGTGTCCACATCGTCCACTATCCTGGAAGGTGTATCTTGCCACATATGTTAGCGGGTAGAGACACAAAACCAAATAAAGACATGACACATGTGTATGCATACAATTTGGAATAATATGGACAGTTTACAATCCTAGACACATTCCACATTAAGCCATGTTAGATCATGTTTACACTGCTGTTTTATGTATGAGAACACAAGAAAGTACGTATTTGTCAGTCATTCAAATTTGGGTTCAGCAAAAGTATCTATTTTTAGTAAAAATCGTTAGGAGTTTTGCGATCAGGGTGTTAGTTGTCAATTTTTGGTGCTTAAAATGCACTTGGAGTCTGTAACCTTGAAAAACGTTGTAATGTTATCAATACATATATATATATATATATTTTGTGAACGGAACTAGTATGTTCGAGGTAAAGCTTACGTTTTGTGTACCATCAAAAGCATGACAGTGATGATATTTCTTAAAAACATTGTAACCTGGATCCTTTTTCTTGATCTTCACAATCAGGAGTCACCACAGTAGGAACACAACGACTTGTTTTCGAGATACGATGAGTTTTATTTAAAATAGGTTTGGAGAATGTAAAACAGATACCGCACAAACGTACTGGCAGCAATCTGAATTACTTAGGAGCGCAGTGACCTCTGACCTAGCTACCTGCGTCCCGCAAACCGATCTCCCTGAATCATGATTTTCCACCCCATTTTATCCTTACACTTTTCTAATGATAAATTACTATGACGTCACGAGGTTTGACCAACACGTGAGTCTGTTAT